AAAAAAAAAAAAAAAGAGAGAGAGAGAGTATTAATCTTCTTGGACATTCCTCTGATATATCTCTCTATGTGTACTCTGTGGCTAGACTATATCTGTGCATTTTAATTGGAGATGGTTGAAGGGAAAGGAAATTGCAATAACAATCAAAAAGGGCAATTGGATACCCTTTTTACTGCACATGAATTCCCTTTCTTCATCCCTGTGGATGGAAGAAGAGAAGATGCAAAAGACGTGTTCTGTGGAAAAACCTGCTCAAGGAACAGCTGTTCAGTATCAGAAAGCTCCTTTTTGTTTAACTGAGTAAGGGACTTGGAAAGCTCCTTTTTGTTTAACTGAGTAGGGGACTTGGAAAATCAGGAGGAAGTATCTATATATTTGGGAATTCAAGTGACCAAAGAAAGTGTGGTTGGCTTAAGATGGCAGTAATAGATTGGGACTAAGAAGACAAAAGCAGCTTCTTGAGTATCCTGAGACAGACATAGATCCTGGTTTGGCAGGTTGAGAAAATACTAAACCAGGTTTTTGAGCAGGAATCTTGATAGTTTTTAAGCAAATGTGATAATCTAGAAAGGGCTCTATGTGCAGCCCAACACCACACAAAAAACAATCAGTTACTTCAGAAATAAGACTTTGATTGCATCCAGGATAGGTGATTCTGAGAAGTATGCCATATTTCCCTCCTCTCTGAGGAGAGGTATGGGTGGAAGACAGGAAGGGCTCTGTGGGGACCCCCAACTAAAATTGTATGTATCTGAGTTGTTGGCATTGCCAAAAGTGACCACAGTAGTAATAGGCTGCCTAGAGTTTCCTTCTGAGGACATTCAATGGCTTAGATGGGAGAGGTAGACTTAGCCCAGAGAACAGCCAGAGATTCAGAAGGCAGAATCAATTTTGAGAAGTCTACTGTTTTGCTATCATTCAGCTTCTTTGAAGAATTGTAAGAATAAGCTCCTACTTAGATATCAACTACTGTTTAGGTTAAGATAACAGAAAAAATTCCCAAACAAAAACATAATTTTCTTAATTGTGTTTTGAGTTACATTAGAGCTGCACTACACTTTGGGAAAGAAGGGGGCTTCATTATCAAATAAATTGTGGAAATATTGTATGCTATGTAATCCTCTAGAAAATTCTGAGATATACTTCAATTAAGAAACCTGCCTATGTAACTTAGCATTTCTGAATATGACCTGTGTGACCCTGGCATACTTTTTTCCAGTAACAGCTATTAACATTTCCTGACAAGAAGGCACAGCTTTTGTGCCAAGAGGAAAAGGGACCCTGGATTTTGTGTTTTCATAGCTAGAAAAATCTGAGCTGTGGGGAACTGGAGACAAGCTAAAATTCTTCTTGACTAATTTGACTCTTTTCCTTTCATCTCTACAGATTTCTGAGAGGAAAGTGGGTATGAAAAACCATTCTACTGTGACTAAGTTTCTACTTTTAGGATTAACTGACCAGTCAGAGCTTCAACTGCCCCTCTTCTGCCTTTTCTTAGGGATCTACATGGTTACCATGGTGGGAAACCTAGGCATGATTTCAATAATTGGATTGAATTCTAAACTTCACACACCCATGTACTATCTTCTCAGTAGTCTGTCTTTTTTAGATGTCTGTTATTCTTCTGTCATCACTCCCAAAATGTTGGCAGGGTTTTTATACAAAGATAAAGCTATTTCCTATTCTGGATGCATGGCTCAGTTGTTTTTTTTCTGTATATTTGTCATTTCAGAATGCTACATGTTGGCAGCAATGGCCTATGATAGCTATGTTGCAATCTGTAAGCCACTGCTCTATAATGCCATCATGTCCTCTCTGGTCTGCTGTCTGCTAGTGGCTGGTGTTTTCTCAGTAGGTTTGATAGATGCTGTGATTCATGTAGGTTGTATATTAAGGTTGTCTTTCTGTGACTCAAACATCATTAGCCATTATTTCTGTGACATTGTCCCTCTTATTAAACTTTCCTGTTCAAGCACTTATATTGATGAACTTTTGATTTTTGTCATTGGTGGATTTAACATGGTGGCCACCAGCCTGATGATCATTATTTCATATGCTTTCATCCTCTCCGGTATCTTCCACATCCACTCTAAAGAGGGCAGGTCCAAAGCCTTTAGCACCTGCAGTTCCCACCTGACAGCTGTTCTTCTATTTTATGGCTCCCTCATGTCTATGTATCTGAAACCTGCTACTGACAGTTCCCTCACCCAGGAGAAAGCATCTTCAGTATTTTATACTACCGTGATTCCCATGTTAAATCCCTTGATATATAGTCTGAGGAATAAGGAAGTAAAAAATGTATTGATAAAACTCTTAAAAAGAAAAGTATCTCATAATGAATGTGCTCCTTATTAAAGTTTATTTATACATTTATAATTGCTATTTTTGTATTAATAATAATATGTTTGTATGGAAGTGTTTAGACTCTGCCTCTTTAAAAGTAATTTGAAGTGAGTTTTTTGTGTTTATGCATATATGTTTCTATAGACAACCCTTTCTGTTGAATCAATAGTGACTCATGGTGATCTCATGTGCTTCAGTGTAGAACTGTGTGCCATAGAGTTTTCAGTGGCTGTATTGTACTCTTACAGAAGCAGATAGCCAGGTCTTTCTTCTGTGGCAGTGCTATGTGGATTAGAACCACCGACTTTTAATTTAATAGTCAAGCACCACCCAGGAGCTTATAAATATGTGTGTGTATGTATGTATATATATATATATATATATATATATATCTCCACACATAATAAGATTAATAAAATAAAAAACAAGTATGAGATGAGAAGTAAAAAAATACATAAAATTTAAAGTTTAATAACATTGCTAAGATTGAATATCAAATTTTGTGATTAGTTTCATAGCTCTAGGGGGGGGAAAAAACAACTCACTGCCATCAAGTCCATTCCAAATCATAGCTACCCCCTTTGGATTTCCAAGGCCGTGAATCTTCACAGAAGCAGATTGCCCAGTCTTCCTTCTGTGGAATGACTGGGGGTTTGAACCTTAACCTAGCTAGCAGTCAAATGCCTTAGGCATTATGCCATCAGAGCTCCAAAATCTTTATGGAAGTAGATTGCTCAATCTTCCTTTCTCAGAGTGACTGCTGGATTTTAACTGCCAACCTTCTGGTTAGCAGTCAAATGTCTTAGCCACTATGCCACCAGCAATACCACACTATAATCATGATGTACCATAATAATATCAAAAAATAAATCACACCAAATTCTTTTCTTGAAACAAGGTCTTTGCTCTTATTTATCTCATTAAAAAAGATATATATCTTATGGAAATTTGAATAAATAATAATGAGTGGTGTGATGGAAATCACACAATAATTTTACCTAAAATGAGGAAGAATTTTTCTTATTATTTCTTCTAAAGGGCTCATTAAATACCACTGGTATATTACAGCAGAAGTCAATGAAGAAGATTCAGCAACGTGATAAGCAAATATGGTCCTAATGTTTGGTATCTGGTGATCCAAGGATAAAATGTAGAATATCTAGATGAGGAAATGATGTTTAGATAAGCATATCTAAATATCGATGTCTTTCAGTTTAAATATTGTTATGAATTGAATTCTGCCCCCCCCCCAAATGTGTGTTATTAATCTTATGCTCTACACTTTTGCTTATAATCTCATTTGGGAATGGGTTGTTTTTATTATATTAATGACACAGATTAGTGAAGGGTGTATCATGAGTCAATTGCTTTTGAAATATAAAAGAGATCACACAAGCAAGTTAGCAGGCGGAGATGTGGGGAGATTTATACCAAGCCACGTGGAAATCTCCAAGGAACTTGGAAATAGAAGCTGAAGAAACAAGGACTTTTCCGCAGAGCTGACAGAGATAGAAAGCTTTCTTTAAAGCCCAAACCCACTGTCACTGTCATTGAGTCAGTTCTGACTCATAGTGACCCTATGGGACAAAGTAGAACTGCTCCATGGAGTTTCCAAGGCTGTAAATCTTTATGGAAGCAGATAGCTTCATTTTTCTCCAGCAGAGTGGCTGGGGGGTTCCAACCACTAACATTTTGGTTAGCAGCCCAATCCTTTAACTGCAGCAACACCAGAGTTCCTAAAGCCACATTTTGAATTTGGAATTTTAGCCTCCTTAAGTGTGAGAAAGCAGCTCTGGTAGCGTAATGCCTAAGGCATTTGACTGCTAACCAGAAGTCTGGTGGTTCAAACTCACCAGCCACTCCTCGGAAGGAAGATTGGGCAATCTACTTCTGTAGTGATACCACCTCGGAAACCCAAGGAGAAGTCACTATGATTTGGATCCAAATTGACAGCAGTGAGTTTGGTTTTTAGAAGTGTGAGAAAATAAATTTGTGTTTGTTAAAATCATCCACGTGTAGTGTTTCTGTTATAGCAGCACTAGATAACTAAGACAACTAGTATATGGGAAGTATTTTACAACTTTTTACATGTTTCTTTAGAGTTGATCTTTTCTTTGTAAGTTACAAACTATATGTCTTTATTTTTCTCTAAATAATATGTTTTACATTAAATATAATGAAAAAATATATAATTTTCAAGAATAAACTCTTGTACAATCAGCCAATATAATTCTTTTATGGGGAATGTTATGTGTTAGTTCATTTATTTAGTATATGCTTATCATCACACTATGTGCCAAGCACTGTTCTAGGTGCTGTAATGCTATGAATATAATAGACAAGATTCCTGCTTACTTTTGGAGGTCAGAGCAGCAGGTAATATGGAACATGATAATTACAGATAGAGATAAGTGCCTTAAAGAAAAAAAAATGAGATAAATAATGGTACGTTGGTTAAGGACTACTTTCAATAGAATGTTTTGAAGCAAAGTACAAGAGATGAATCTTGAAGGAATAGAAGAGTACATTTACATAGAAACAGAAGAGCAGAAACAAGTACATAAGTACCAAGGCTAGAATGAACTTGACTTTATTCAAGAAATAGAGAAAGCAGTAAGGCTGAAGCATTATGAAAGAGGAGGAAATGGTGTAAAAGGAGGTTGGATAGGCACACAAATGCCAAATCATGTAAGAGTTGAATTTTATTCTAAGTACCAATTCTAAGTACAAAAATGCTATTGCTATGTTTAAACAGGGAGCTCTGGTAGCATAGTGCCTAAAGAACTTGACTGCTAACCAGAAGGCTGGTGGTTCAAACCCACCAGCCACTCCTTGGAAGAAAGATGGGGCAATCTACTTCTGTAGTGATACTGCCTCTGAAACCCAAGGAGGGGTCACTATGAGTTGGGTCCGAATTGACGGCGCATAACAACAACAACAGCAACATGTTTAAACAATAAATTGATGTAGTCTGTTTTACTTTTTAACAAATTCTCTGTTTATTGATTAAAAATTAGATGTGTGTGTGTTTTGGGATATTTGGGTTGAGAAAGAAGTACATATTGGCCATCTAAATATTCTCTGATTCAAAGACAAGTCTTAAAGAAAATTAAAAACTCATAGGGCTAAAAAAAAAAAAAAAAAAAAAAAAGCAAACTCACTGCCATCAAATAGATTCTGACTCTATGGGACATAGTAAAACAGTGTTAAGAAGAAAATTTTTAGTACTAAATGTTTACATTTCAAAAGAAGAAAAATCTGAAATTCAAGTTCCTACTCAATAAACAGAAAAAAGATGAGCAAAATATACACAATCAAGATGAAGTAGACAACTTGAGTAGTCTTATAACCATTAAAAAATGTAATTTGCAATTTAAAAATCTCTCCCCTCTCCAAAAAATCTCTAGACCAAATGGTTTCATTGGTGAACACCACCAAATATTTAAAGAATTAAGACAAGTTTTACACAATCCCTTTCACAGAACACAAGACAAAAGAATACTTCCCAACTCATTTTTCAAGATCAGCATTACCCTCATACCAACACCAGACAAAAACAGTACAAAAAAGAAAACAAAAGTAGATATAAATATCACTCATGAACTTAAAAATAGAAGTCTTCGAAAACATATCAAATTGAATTCAATAATATATATTTATATTATTAAATAAACCCTTTTTAATACAGTAAGAATCCAACTTATAAATGTAGAAGGAATACAGAATTATAAAATCATCATTTTGCAATCATTACAATAATAATTGATTTGTACAAAAATTATTAATGGATTATAAACCTAGTAGGTGAAATATTTCTTAGTTCAATGTGTCTCCTCAGAAGATTCTTTAACAAAGGTAAAATAGTAACTTTGCAGTGGAGAAACTTGGTCATCCTCACTTTAATCAAATGATCAAATTAACATCACTGATGTTGTTTGTTGTTAGGTGCTTTTGAGTAAGTTTTGCTGCATAGTGACCTTGTAAAACAGAATGAAACACCACACTATCCTTCCTGTGGTGGTTATATTTATGTGTCAACTTGGCTGGGCCTAGTTGAGTGGATGGGCACCTGGTGATAGTTATCTCCCATGATGAGACTGGCTATCAACTCCATGGTGGGATCTACCACAAGCAGCTGAGTAGCTGCCTTTGGGATATGGTCTGGTTCCTGTATATAAGCAGAAGCCTTGGGGATAGTATCTAGCTTATGGCACACTTGAACCCTGCATGTAGCTGAGTCATTGTTCAGCAGCCTGCCATGCTCTACTGACCTGGGGACTTACAATGAACTTGAATTAATGGCCTGCTGTGTGGTTTGGTAACATTGGGACTGTGCCTTTTTACTTGTCAACCTTGGGCTTGGTAGCCTCAGCAGCCAGCAGCTGTCTGAGTGAAGAAAAGCCTGTAGCTTCATTGAGCTAGTTGCTGAAGGCAGTGCTGAAGCCCAAGACTGAGGGGCTTTCATCCAGCCCCTAGAGCCTGGCACTTTGAACTTGGACTTAAAACCTCTGAACTGTAAGAGAATAAACTCCTGTTTGTTAAGGCCATCCCATTTGTGGTATATTCTTGTTAGAGTGGCATTAGATAACCAGAACACTTCCAATCATTGCTGTGTTTGAGCCCAACACCAGGACACTCAAGCAGAAAAAATTTCCACAATAAACAGAATAAAAAATTGAAAGATAAAAAATGGCTCGAATTCAACAAAATACATCAAGACACACAAACTATAAGATAAGAATGAACAATTAAGGGCAAAACATGAAGAAGAGGAAATCTCTTCTATGCAGGCTGAAGTTATGTAAATAATTGATAATTTTCAGACTGTGGTGCTAAATATGTTTAAAGAAAGCAAAAAACACATAGAAAACAAATTAACAGAGTTCAGGAAGCAAATGGAGAAATAAAATGAAAGACTTAACAAGGGAATTGAAAACTTAAAAAATAAAACAAAGAGACTTCTAAAGCTGAAGAATGAAACATCTGAATTTAAAAAAAAAAAAAAAAAGCAA